AGGAAATAAAGATGGAGACACCGAATACAGCAGCATCTGAAACCCAGGGGAGACTCGTGGCAGCAGGCAAAAGAGATCCACACGCCATCCAAGTCGGGACCATCAAGGAGATTCTGGTTGGGGAAGACTCACCACAAATTAAGCAGGAACCTGAAGAGGGGCTGCAGCAGCGCTGGGAAAGCCAGTGGCAGGAATTCCTGAAAACAGTGGAGACCCCACACTCCGGGTGGCGACACCTCAAGCTACCGGAGCCTGCCTCTGAAGAGGATACGAAGGAGTTCCAGGCCTCCTTCAAGGAAATCGCTGGTGCCAGCCACTGGCCCGGGGCAGAGGGGGGAACTCCAGCAGCCTTGCCAAGCCTCCGGGGAACCCAGAAGCCCAATGGAGGCCTGGGCGCATCCTTGAAAGTGAAGGAGGAGTTGGCGAGCCGCGATGCCGCCATCTCGGAGGCACGGCGCCAGCGCTTCAGGCACTTTTGCTACCAGGAGGCCGAGGGCCCCCGGAACGTCTGCAAGCAGCTCTGGAAGCTTTGCCATCAGTGGCTGAAGCCGGAAAGGTGGTCCAAGGACCAGATCCTGGAGGTGCTGATCCTGGAGCAATTCCTGACTATCCTGCCCTGGGAAATGCAGAGCTGGGTCAGCCAGCGGGGCCCACAGACCTGCAGCCAGGCAGTGGCCTTGGCCGAGGATTTCCTGCTGAGGCTGGAAGAGCCTGAAGCATGGGAGCACAAGGTAAGGATGGGTGACCGGGGGAAGGCCAGACAATTTAGCGGGTGTTCAGTAGGGGTTTTCCTACAGACTGCGATTCCCATCTGGCTAAGGGCCAGTTTGTCTTCCCCAAAGTGGAAAGAGAGAATTTTTTCTTTCCACTCCCATAATATGGGAACTCAGAGGATTCGTGCTGTGAAGCTCATCAGTGGAAGACTCACTCCTTGTCTAAAATTTCCATTATGGTTGGCTGGCTAGCCAGGGCCTCATAATAATATTCTGAATGAATAAATTATTTATCCTAAATATCAGAGGAAGGCAAGGCAACGCTTCTGGGCCTGGTACAGGCCACCTAGCTTTTCTTGGGGGCCCCACGCCAACTGCTATTGCCACTAAGAAGAACTAATTTGTCCTTGTTTGAAAAAAATGGGCTGAGAATGAGCATGCTCAGTGGCCAGGAATGATGGCTGATTGTTGAGTGTGGTAGATAGAAAGTGGGGTACTTGCAGAATGGAGTATCCTCAAAGAAGGCATGGCTGGCTGCAACGCTGACTGCAATAGTGTTGTTTCAGGTGCATTGCTCTACCAGTAGAATTTCTCCCTCCTTCCTGAAAGCCCTCTGTGTGACCTCAAATCTAGGCTGCAGATCCTTCAGAGCAGTCTTCCCCCAACCTGGTGGCCTCCAGAGGCTTTTGGACCACAACTCCCATAATTCCCTTCCAGTAGGGCGATTGACTAGGAATTCTGGGTGTTGCAGTCCAAACGTGTCTGGAAGGCACAAGGTTGGGGAAGGCTTGTGTGGGATTCTTGTGGTGGGAGGCGAGAATTCCAGAAGGGGCAGGAAGGTGAGCAAGGGTGACCCCTATGAAATATTGGTTCAGCCCAAAGGGGTGGGACTAAGAAAGAGGGGCTGCGAGTAAGAGATTTGAAGCAGAAAGAACAGGAAAGCTGAAGAAGCAGGACCTGCTGTTGCCACTTGGGCTGGGAGGGCCTTTGCCAACTTGGTCTAGGTAAAATTGCTACGTGTTTCTGTTGGAGGGGTGAATCCACATAGTGAATTCATGTATATGCAATTGAATTGGTATTTTATTCCAGGCTTTTGAAGATTCTGCACGTGGAGCTGGTTCTTCTGTGTTATGGATACTCAGACCAGTTGAGGAAGATATCTTAACTTCTTTTTGTTTAAATTTGCATTCAAAAGGACACTTGAACTTTGCAATTCTACAAGCAACCTCTGTTAGTGCTTGTAGAATTGTTGCAAGGGAATGGCTGCACAAGTACCATTTTGTCGTTGTTATTACTGCTCACGTTTTCTGTTATATAACTAGGAATAAGAAGAGATTCATTTTGTGAAATTGTGTTTGCAATGCTGATTTACGATAGATCACTAAGAAACAGTCTCATAGAACCTATAAGTGTTATACAAGCATTTTCCTAGTGTAAGGATGGAATCCAACTCCTCTGTTGCATTTTTTTAGATACCACCATACAAAGGGTTTGTTCATATACTACCATACATTGCCTGTCCACGTGGTGGGCTTATTTGGCAATTTGACTCTCACAAAATGTCTGCCATTCAGCAGGGGCTTGCTGTTCATGAAATGGCTGCCATGCTGAACACAGCAGGTCACAAATCACTCCTTTCCCAGCAGGCAAACCCATGAAATGAAAAGAAAAATGCCTTGTCCAAGAATCCAAGCACAAGGCAGAGGGGGGATCTGAGCTCCAAAACAAAACCACAAAGAAGAACTGTGTTAGAAAGCAACTTCTTCCATTGAAACAGGCCAGCCTCCCTGTTTAAAAAAATAATTAATTAAAAAACCCCGATTAAGCTAAAAAACTAAAATTAAAACCAGAAGAGGCAAGGAGTATGTCAGGTGCCAAGCAACGTGTCCATGGACTCATCAGTGCTGGTTTATCTAATATAGAAACATAGAAACACAGTGAGTCAGAAGGGGTCTCCTGGGCCATCTAGTCTGACCTCCCACTCCACCCAGCTCCACTTATGACATGCCTAGCCTGTGTATGTACTTAAACACCCTCACCGATGGGGCTTCAACCACCTGTGGAAGCCCATTCCATGCCCTAGGGGTAATATTGAAGACTTCAAAAATAGATAACATGGCACTTTACAAAATGTAAAAGGAATGGACCCTATCCTTGACAGGGGAAGTTCTGGAAGAAGGATGTGAGATTGTTTCAGTTACATTGGGAAATGGGTAGCCATAGTTACGTGGGTACAGTTACAAAGTGTACCTATAGTTTATTGGTATCCCCAGGTTCAGAAATCTATACATCTACATACCTGTTGCTTGGTATGAACAATGGGAGACAATTGTTGTGCTCATGCTTATGGGTTTTCCAGAGACGTCTGTCTGGCAGCTGGTGGAAACAACAAATTCTAAGACCATGCGGACATTGGCCTTTTCTCAGCCGATGTTCTTATGTGATTGCTTTTCAAATCTAAAATTATGTTACAGATATCACACGTGTGCAGGACCTCAGCTCCAGGGGCCATGTATGGCCCTCTGGGGTTCCCCTGAATGGCCCACTTCCCCTAGCCCCATCTCCTTTCCCACAACCAGAATCATTGGGTGGGCTCTCAGCTTTGGAACACATTTCCCCCTCTCTAAAAGGTGTAAATGCCTTCCTATGTTACAGCAGCAACTGTTTTAAGCTAAAATATGCTGGCTTTTCTGGCCTACGCCCTTTGCCCCTAAACCTATCCTTTTTGATTTCAGCCCTGCCCACAATTTGAATGTAACCCACTTCTCAGAAGCACTTTTCTGAAATTGAGTCCTTGGCCTGAAGGAATTTCAACACCTCTAAAGGATTATGTAATGCACATTTGCTTTTTTCCAGGAGCCAGGAGAATTGATGGGGTCCTTTGTCAATACCCCTGATTCAGAACAGGATCTGTCTAACCCAGCAAAGCTGCAGCACTCTGCAGAAGACAAGCAGCAAGGAGATCAAAAATCTAGCTTCTTTGGTAAATATTCAAGACACTCAGTTACTAATCATTAAAGAAAGGGAGGGTGGCATCATTGCAAATTTCTTCCCTTTCAATTACACCATATATTACCCCATTTTAAAAACACCTATTTATACAAAAGCAATGCTCACACATTTCCAAGTATAGCACATCAAGCAGGGGTGTTCTCTTTTTTTCCTGAGTGCTGAATTCCATTACAAAGAATTCTGCTTTCCAGTGTTGGGAAGGTCCAAAGGCGAAAGGGGTGAGGAAAAGCAAGATCACATCTGGCTCAAATGGTTACACCTGATGAGGCAAGGTCAGGTTAGGTCAGCGGTGGGTCACTTCCAGGTGCCCTTCCCCTTTAGCCAAACACTCAGTGATTTCTCAGCTTTTGTGTGCCCTCCTTTCTCAGATGTTGAAATGTTTCTCCAAAGGTGGTGGCGGTAGCAGTGTCTCCTCCTGCTCTTATTATTAGTATTATCATCTGGCTTATTGCTGGCAGTAAGAGCTTTAAGTTATAACATACTGATATTTGGAGTATTGTCATAGAATCACAGAATAGTAAAGTCGGAATGGGCCAGGGGGTGATTGGGTCCAACTCTTTGCAGCCTGGCCTACCTTCCACTTCCTATACCTGTCCTTTTTCTAGTCTGCACTGGTTAACTTTGAGCCTCTCATTCTCAACCTCATCTACCTTACAGGGTTGATATTAGGATAGAATGGAGAGGCAGAAGATCATGTTTATGCTTCCTTGTGGGAAGGACAGAATGTAAATATATCAAAATGATAAAAAGAACAGTTTGATGAACAATGAAATGGATGTGATATTCAGGAAGGATTAATGTGTTATTTGAAGAATCAGAATGGAGTGCTAAAATGGGGAAAGAGAAATCTTGCATGCCTCAGAGTCTCATGTCATGTCATTCTTTTTGTCTTATCTAGAAGGTGATGAGCAAGTGCATGAGAACGGCGAGGAGACATTTCAGCTAGAGAGACCCAAGGAAATGGGTGTTTGTGAAATATCCTTGGAAAGGGCCAATGGGGAATTCTTCCAGGGCCTTGAGATGGGGCTGGGAAGTCTCCCAGTGCCTGGAGGTCCCTGGGAAAACTATCCACTGAAGGCAACTAAACAAGCTTTTCTTTACAAGGAAGGGGGTACCAGATTAAATGAAGGCTCCTTCCAGGAAGGGATCATTAAATCTAAGATAAAGAAGGAACAGGCTGATGACAGGAGCTTTGAACGGCTTAACAGCCAGGCTTTGCAAATGGCTGAAAAGCCATACAAGTGCCTCTACTGTGGGAAGACCTCCAACTGTAAGGCAAACCTTGTTGTTCATGAGAGAACCCACACAGGAGAGAAGCCATATGCATGCTTGGACTGCGGCAAGAGCTTCAACCGGAAGTCAACACTTGTCAGGCACAAGAGGATGCACACGGGGGAAAAGCCATATGAGTGTGCTGAGTGTGGAAGGTGCTTCAGCATCCGATGCAACCTTATTAATCATGAGAGAATCCACACAGGTGAGAAGCCTTACAGCTGCTCTGACTGCGGGCAGAACTTCAGCCGGAGGCTGCAGCTTGTCATACACCGGAGGACCCACACAGGAGAGACCCCTTACAGGTGTGCCCAGTGTGGAAAATGCTTCACACGACGCTCTTCTCTCTTGACACATGAGAGGATCCACACGGGAGAGAAACCGAACACGTGCACAGATTGCGGAAAAAGTTTCATCCAGAAAGGATATCTCCTTATACACAGGAGAATCCACACAGGAGAGAGACCCTATAAATGTTCGTCTTGTGAGCAGAGGTTTCTTAATCGAAGTGATCTGCGCAGACATGAGAAAATCCATGCAGGAAGTAATCCCTCTGAATGCTAGGAAGAGGCCATGTGGCATTGATACCAACTAATTTGCTTCTCCAGTGGCAATGCTTTTTTGAAAAATATAAATGAGTAATTTAATTTTTTATAACATTGACTCTTTATAACAGCCTTCCCAAGCGGATGCCTTCCAGATGCATTGGATTACAACTTCCGGCATCCCCCTGGGTAGCATAGCTGTTATAGTCCATCACATATGGAGAGCAGCACCTTGGAGAAGGCTATTTATGGAAAAGTAATATACAAGTAAATAAGAAGGGGCAAACCACAAACCTTTACTGTGATATTGAAGAGGGTTGGTTAGTACACTTTGGCAACCCCCATTGGGCTGAAACTTTGGGGGGCTTTGTCATGTAGGAAAAAGATGATTAGGAAAAACATAATAGAAGTTTATGAAATTATGCTTGGTGTGGAAAAGTGATGTTTTTCTCCCTTTGTTGTAAGCAATGGAACATGTGATTGCTTAAAGGAATGGTGGTCCTGTAGATTCAGATAAAAGAACAGCAAAGTGGCAATGGGCATTGGTTTGGCTGCAGACTTCCAAATAAGGCTCCACCAGGTGGTTTCCAGTTGCATCCTCAGATCATCCTCCTACAGCTGCAGGGATAGAGAAACTAAATGTAGCCTCTAGGTTCAGACGCAGTGACCTGGCTTGTCTACATAATGCTAACCAGTGGTTTATTTAACCCACAGATAGCCCAAGGTTTGTTCTAACTAAGGTTTATTTGGCAGATAATCAAAACTGTAGCCTGTTTCCTCTATTCCTGGATTTTTTTTCTGTTTGTTCCTCCACCTTATATCCCAAATGCCTTTGTGTTGCTGTAGTATTAGTAAGCTGAGTGCCTTTTTTTATCGCTCTTGCCCACCGAACATCCCATGAAGAGCACATGATTCTAGGTTCAAACATAACTGCAACCCGTGATTTAAGCAACCCATTTTACAACTTAACAAATCATGGGTTCTCTTTCTGAATTGTTCATGGTTAACAAACTATGGTTTGTTACCATGGCTGGCTTCGCACCTCATGGCCCTAATCCATGGGTTATATATAAGCCCTGAGATAGTTTCATTTGTCAACTAGGCCATTGTGTCTTTGAATATTGGTTGCTAGGAAGGAAAGCAAATGGTAGGAAAAGACTGCTGCCTTCTACCCCACTTACTGGGGCTGGCTGCTCTTAGAAATAGGAAAATAGATTAAGATGTACTTTGGGGGGCTGATCCAACTGGGTTCTTGTTATCTGATGTATTTCTTTCCTCATATCCTCTTATTTAGAGGATAAGCCAAATAAAAGAAGTGAGGAAGTAGCCTTCCAGGTGTTATGGATCACCCATCAGCTACAGCCAGCATGGTGAACACTCAGGGTGATTGGAATTGTAGTTGAATAACATCTGAAAGGTGACTGCTCCACCACTTTAGTACTAAGACAACAATTAAAAATAGCATCATAATAAATCTGAAAATTGCAGGGGGAATGTTAATAAATCTTGATTGTGGTATTAACACAGCATGGAAACCAACAGCTATAGCAGAAAAGTAGAAGCAGAAATAATGGCATTTGTTCTGAGCTTCTTTATATCATAAGGCAGAGGTGAGCAATTTGTGACTTTCCAGATATTTTGACCCCTAACTCCCATCTACCCTGGCCAGTGGGAAGGAAGTATAGAAATATTTGGAGGGTCACAAGCTGTGCTTTCTTACTTAACGTTATTCCTCCTCTCAACCACATTGTTGTTTCTGTATATTTTTGCTGAAGCCTAATTAAGGCTGTTGTAAAAAAAAGTTTCATGAAAAGGTTTCAATAAAACGTTTTTAAACCAAATGTTTGTATCTTTCCCCTACCCCCCACCCAGTTCAATGAATGTGGTCTAAATAAAGCTGAAAAGCTTCAAAGAAAAACAAACCGATTTGGTTAGTATGCATACTGTAGAGAACTACAAAACCTTCAAGCTGCAATTATTTTTCTCTCACTAGGAAAGCAAAATTTGGCTGTGGCAGAAAATTTGTCATGATTTGCATTTATTTAGTAGATTTATATATTTTTTCTTACAAAGGACTTAAAGCAGCTTATATAATATACATAATACACTTCCTGCTTTCAGTCTTATCCCCACAACAACAACCCTTGAGGCTGTGACTGGCCCAGAGTAAGTGCCATGGCTGAGTGGGCACTTGAACCCAGAGCCCACGCTTTTAACCACCACACCACAATGGCTCCATCAACTCTGGCACCAGCTGCTGCTGCCCCTCATAAACTTTCCCATATTTGGAGTGTCGTAGCACCCCAGGGGAGAGGGGTAAAATGGCTGCCAGAGAAAGATAGATCTGCTAGAAACAAGCCACTTTTATGTGGAAATAAATGGCATACACAAACACAATACAACCTTCATATCTTGGTCCTGGCTGATATTTTTGATCTTTCAGATGTCTTCTACTCTAGCTTTCACCAACCCATTGCTCTCCAGATGTTTTGATTTTGGTTCCTATCAACCTCGCCCAGCATGGCCAATGGTATGGAATACTGGGAGTTGTCTAAATACAGTGGAAAAGGCTGTTTTACTCCATATGTGTGTCCCTGCAATACCCTGTTTGAGAGATGCATACCCAGGGAGCCCTTCCTCCAATCGTTCTCTTTTCCTGTTTGGATGAGATTCATGAGACCCTGAGGTGGCCCTTTCCTGAGACTGGCACCCAGCATTCCTCTTGCCCAGCCTGGGATCTGGGATCGAGTCCCCACTCAGCCATGAAGCTCCCTGGGGTCCTGTCAACCCAACCTACCTCACAAGGCACGATAAAATGGATGCCTCCCTTTTGAACACAGTGCCAGAGACCCAGTAGGATCTACTGCTGTGCTGAGACATTCCCTGGGGTGCCCAAGCCAAGTGTCTTGGAGGTGTCATTTAAAAGTTCCCAGAATGCCTTGGAGTGATACTACACAGGCCCTTGTGAGAAATTCAAAATGATTGTGACAAGACCACAGCTGGTTGCCTCTGCCAGTAAAACTGTCAACATAGGAAGAGTGCTGCCTGAGGGAACTTTGGCAAGATTCACCTCAGGCCTGGAACATCCTATATTATTTCTGTAATTAAAGGCAATACTGGCAACTAGCAAGATACCTGAATGACAAACACTCCATGTTTAACATTTTATTCAGAATTATACAGCTTATATAGAGGTTATATATAACCTTATCTAGAGGTTTTGAAGTGTCAGAGAAAGATACAGATACCTTTCCCCCTCATGTCAATCTTCTTCATTTACATACTCTTCAAAGGCCAGCTTTATTGGCACCTTTGGGTGTTGAGAAAAATGATAACCAATATGAAAACTGGAATCACCTGGGCCAGGCTTTTTGTTTCTAGGCTTTATCTGTAAGAATTTCATTTTTTAACATTGGGTTCTCTTTGCTCAATGCTTACCAATGCTTATATGACCATAATTCCTAAACCTGAGTCAGATCATACTGACTGTGTTAATGACTGACCTACTTAATTTGTTAATGTCAATAGTAAAGTATGAACTGATTGTAAGCCATCCTGAGATGCTATGCATAAGGGACAGCATATAAAAGTTTTCAATAAATAAACAAACTGCAATTTTAGCTGATAGACTAGATCAAGTTAATGCAATGTTTGTCCAACTGGATTAGGTTGGGTTCATTAAAAACAGACAGGGCTGAGAAACTCAGATTGGTTGTTGATCCAATTGCATCAGCTGCTGTTATTTTCCTGGGCCTTTGACAAAATTCATTAGAAAATAATTTTGGCTACACTGAGAAATGTTTGTTATCCTGCAGAATTTCAGAATTGGGTTCAAGCTTTATTTTCAGCCCCAGGACCTAGAGTCAGGATCAATGAGTTTTTGCCTGTTTTTGTTTTTAATTAGAGATACTGGGCATTGATATTTGATTTTCATGTGGAACCCTTCACACAAGCTATCTAACAAAATGTTAACATTCATGGACTTGTGCATAACTATAGAATTTAAACATATTCTCCAGACTGATGGTCATTCATTGTTCATCTCAAATCTCCCATAATTGGTTCCAGCTTTGATATAGACAATTAATAATCTTGGACATTTAACTGTCTATTCTAATATGCTCAGTATGAACTGATATTGATTGGAGATACTATACCTAATATTGTACTAGTAAACTAGCAATTCAGACTCTGTTCAGAATTTAAAACTTATTTGGGAATAAAAGCTATAATTATTATAATTATAACTATTATTATTGAAGATATCTCACTATACATAAAATATATAGGGATATTTACACGCATGCACACACACACACACATTCATTTAAATAAATTTAATTCTCAGAAAACTGTAATATTTTATTTTATTTTTATTTTTCCTTTTGTGTTGTTATTTGTATTTTAAAATTCACAATAAAGGAACCTGTCCTGGAACATGTCCCACTTGCAAATGAACCCTATTTCAGCCACTGGGTCAGTTTTCATGATGCCTCTGGAGGCAGAGAATCATCCTATTTTTGGCTTTTAGAAAATGTTTGATACATGCCTAGTGCACAATAAAATAAATCATTAGCAGAACTGTAGGATCTCAGCCCTTGACTAGAAGGAAGTTTCTGTATTCCTTCAGATTTGATAACAGGGAGCTGCCACTTAAAATGGTGGCTGCAAATGGGGTCAACCCTCTAAAAATATGTGAAGATTTTACAGGAGGGAAATTGGGTGTATTCCTTCAGCACAATGGGGGAAAATTTGGCCCTCTAGTTCAGGGCTGTTGAACCTTTTTCAGATGCTCTCGAGGGCAGCTTTCCAGGGTGAGCAGGGCTAATGAAAAATAGATTGTTCCAAAAATACCAGATTATTTTTGCTTAAGGCTTCTAGTAACTAAGACTTCCAACCTTTTATATGTCGGTGGGAGTGAGAAGATGGGAAGCCACCAAATGCCTGCTGGCTGAGTGACAGCCCCAAAGTCACACAGTCTGCTCCATGGCTGAGCAGGGACTAGAACCCAGATCGCTAAAGTGACTCTCAATTTTGGTTACCCTTCTCCGCATCTTCAGCTATTTGGGAGGGGGGAGGGGTGCTACTCCCTATATTTTAAAAACGCTCAGTCCCCTAAACTCTCTGGGTTGTGTACAATACATTTAAAAAAAGAAAAAGAATGGTACAAACATTAAAACAAAAAATTAAAACAGCACAGATAAACCTTCAGGAAAAAAGAAATACAAATGATACTCTTGGATGCCAGGGGCCCAGACGTCAGCATGCTCAGCAAAATTAAGCATGACAAGGGTGAGATTGAAAACGTGCCTTTATTCTCAAGAATAAGTTTGATCATGACAAAATGGCAATCAACCCCAGGAGCATGGCAGAGCCCCCTTTCATACCCTGTATGACCAGGTAGCAAGGACGGTTGCTCATTGGGTAGAAATTTCTGCCAGGATTCCTGGCTGACACATTTGAATCTCTGTTCTCCACACACACCTGGGGGGCTGGACTACCTGAGGACTGAGGTGGAGGCTTTTGCGCCGGAGATTGCTCAGTCTCTGGCTGTTGGTGATTCTCAGTTGTTGTGTGGCTGTGCTGTAGGTTCTATATTGTTGTGTTTATGCTCAGGATGTGACTAGTCCGCTTCTGCCTAATGCCGGCCAGACGGGTATGTCCCACAATTCAAAATGCAGCCATCAGAACCAGGCACAGTATTCCAAGTGCAGTTGCAGTCTAGATATGAGGAGTCATGGTATAAAGGACAGGCGACATGCTGGCATTTGCCAGAGGGCAAGGGGCAGCCCTAACCCACACCAGAAAGTATGTCAGTCGGCCATCTCTTTGGCAAGGGTGGATTATATATTACCCCTGGGCTGCCTGAATGTTTTCCCTTCTCTACTGAAATTGCCAGAGAAATTCAGTGAACCGGCAGCCAGGAAGGACAGATTGAGATCAGCTCACACTAGCATGCCCAAGGGGAAATGTGGTAGTGTTATTAAAAATGAAACTACATAAACACATCAAGCAGTCTGATTTTACCTTAGCAAAGACTGGTTCCCATGCCAATGTTTCAGATTTGAGGGTGGAGGAGTGTTTGCTTGCATCCTAGGCAAATGAAATATGCTGGAGGCATTGCAATTGTTTATTTGCAGCAAGTTACACGAATCCAGTGTCTACACACATACAAAGAACAGCTTGGTCTTACTGTGCTGTGTTATGCAGATATCCTGCTATGGGACAGGTAGATAAAATGCTTTCACGTGAATCCATTAATTTTAGTAAGTAAGGCTTTCCTGGGCTCCAAGATCACAGCAGATGGAGATTGCAGCCAAGAAATTAAAAGACGTTTGCTCCTGGGGAGGAAAGCTATGGCAAATCTAGACAGCATACTAAAAAGCAGAGACATCACCCTGCCAACAAAAGTGTGTATAGTTAAGGCGATGGTTTTCCCAGTTGCAATGTATGGCTGTGAAAGCTGGACCATAAGGAAGGCTGAGCGCAAAAGGATTGAGGCCTTTGAATTGTGGTGCTGGAGGAGACTCCTGTGAGTCCCTTGGACTGCAAGGTGATCAAACCGGTTAGTCCTACAGGAGATCAACCCTGACTGCTCTTCAGAAGGACATATACTGACGATGAGACTCAAATACTTTTGGCCACCTAATGAGAAGGAAGGACTCCCTGGGGAAGAGCCTAATGCTGGGAACAATAGATGGCAAAAGAAGAAGGAGACAGCAGAGGATGAGGTGGCTGGATGGAGTCGCTGAAGCAGTTGGTGTGAGCATGAGTGGACTCTGGGGGATGGTGGAGGACAGGAAGGTCTGGAGAAATGTTGTCCATGGGGGTCGGACACGACTTCGCGAGTAACAACAAAGGAGCCAAGGTGGGAAGACACGAGTTCCTCTGTGCTGCTATCCGATCATTGCCATAACCCTTACCCTCCATTCACGGATCTCCCAGAAGCCTCAGTCCCTTTTTCATCTTTTAAAACTGGTCTGGTCCTTGACCAGTTTTATCAATTGATTGATTGAACCTTAAAAATGAACCAGGAAGTTCTGTCCGCTAACTAAGAGTCTACATTTAATGTCTATGGTGTGTTTTCTAGCCTCTCTATTATCGAACTTCCCATACAGAAGATTTCGATATAGAGATACTAATTTAGAGAGATACCTATCTACGCTTATAGTTAACCCAGGGCAATACTGGTGTGTTCTTTTTCTTTTTGAACAGAAGGCTGTGTTCCACTTTAAACTTTTTTTTTTTAATCTCTGTGGGCTTGCTATCGCGTCCAATCATAGAGGGCCATCTCTCTACCCATGAGAATCTCTATGGTGGGAGTTCCCTCTAGCTTGCGGGGGGAAAGCGCTGCAAAAGCGAATGGCCCTTTATAAGCTGGAAGTGCCCGGAGGGACGCGGCCCCTGCCCGCTTTTCCTGCAAACCTGGGAATTTGAATCATTTTTATATGATTTTAATATATAAAATCATATATTTAGGCCTCCTTTAAGGATAGAACCCTCTCAAATCCGTGAATTGCCTTTCATTACGTTTTGGGAGAAGATAAAGGGTGGATCCTGGACGTGGTGAGTTAAAGTCCATGGGGAGAGTTGTGGTTGGGGGTGGAGGAAAAGGCCAGGAGGACTAGAAGTGGACTGTTTCCCAGATCTCAGAGCTGAACAGATCAAAGGTTTTATACTCCACCTTTCTTCCTTTGCTAGGAGCCCAGCGTTTTTCTCTCCATTTATCATCATTATAACAACAACAACAACAACAACAACCCTGAGAGGTAGGTTAGGCTGAGAGTCTGTGACCCGCCAAAATCATCCATAAGCTGTGGTATCTGCTCCATCCAAAAATCTAACCAGTAGCTATCAGTCCCTCTCATAGAAAACTCAGGAGGTGCTTGCTGCTAGACATGGGCAGGGAAAATACGGAATGGCTTGCTGGAGGGACTGGATGGCACCCTGAACAGGAGAACCTCTGTAAGGAAGTGGGAATACATTGCAAGGCTTTGTGGTGAAATTTTGCTAAACATTCTGCAACTGGTGGCACGCGTCCCATCAGTCCCTGCAGCTGGGAACCAAGCCCAGCCAGCGCCACTCCTGCCTGCATCCCCCGCCTCTCCCCCATGGACCCACATGCTCTCCTGGGTGTGTTCTCAGCCAGCTGCCTTTTCCCTTCCTCCTGCTCCACGGAACCCCCATTTACCCAGGAGTGTAGCTCGGCTGCTCCCACAGTTGCTTCTTCCTCCTGGCATGGACTTTGCAAAGCCCAGCCAGATGGCCCATGCACTGCCTGGCCAGCCACCCGCCTACCTGCCACCTGGCCGGATTGCCGAGGTGCCCGTCTTGCCCATATGTTGCGCACTGATGTGAGGGGGCAACAGGTGCTTGCGTGGGAGGCTGTGCCAGGCGGAGACATGGCAGCACAGCAGGCAAGTTGGGCATCTCGGTGATCCGGCCAAGAGGTGTGCGGACCAGGAGGTGGGCGGCAGTCAGCCCAGTGGCACTGCCCCCGGTCTTTCCCTGCGCCCCCAGCCAAGTGGCCGGCATGGCAGCAGTGTGGCTGGCCACTGGGGAGTGTGCACCAGGAGGAAGAACACACCATGTGGAGGCAGCCAGTTAGCCCCCCGTCCACTGGCAACTCAGCCACTGCCAGATGCATGAGGTAACCGAAAATGGTGCTGGGGTGGCCATAGCCATGGTGGCTGCTTCTCCCACTGAACTTGCTGGCAAAAACAAGAAAACTGTGGAGAAATATTGCAGCTTGCTTCACACACATCGTGGAAGACTTGGGACGGACGGTTGGTTCTCTGTGGTGATTCAGGGGAACCAAACATGCCGTATAATCGCCATGCTTCTGGTGTTCACACAGAATGACAAGCTGTTCCTGCCATGGTTTGTGGTTATGTGTGAATACAGCCTTTGCGTAAAAGGCTATGCAGAAGCTACCTGGTTTCTGGGTGTAAGAAGTGTCCTTCTGGGACAGAGCAAAGACCTGCCTTTTTTACGCAGCAGCCACCCAGCCAGCAGAAGCTGTCCTTTGACCTCCATCATCAGCATCTGATATTTGGGGGTACATACTGTCCCTGTTTAATTTAGACCATATGTGCAGCAACCTCAACCTAACATGAAACACAGTGCATTTGCTGTATCTTCTCACTTCTTCTCCAGTGTTCCAGCCAGCTGGCCTGGCGCCTCCAGCCACTCCAAGCTGTCCTCTTCTCTCCCTATTTCTACCTGCATTTAACATCTGAGTTTGCTGTCAGAGGGAGTGATACCTGTTGCTACAAATGCTTTATACCCCATCTTTTCCAACCCTTGAGCACCTCACTTTTTGATATTTGGGGAATAATCCACTTCTGGAATCTAGATTCATACTGGGGACATTTCGCCAACAAAATAACGCATGTGTGTTGTTGCCATCGCAGCCATTATCTTTGCGGTGCTGAAATAATCCAGTTACTATTGCTTTTCCATTTGCTCAGTAAGCCAAGCCTCTGGGTGAGGCTGCCCTTTCTTGGGAGGGATTGTAATTCAGTGAGAGAGGACCTGTTTTGCATGGAGAAAGACCCCAAGTTCAGTCCGTGGCATTTTTAGTTTCTAAAAGGTGCAGGTAACAGGTAAGACCTGGCAGAACTTCAGAGATGTTCTCCCTCTTCGCTGAGTTTTGTTATTTCTTCTCCCCACCAGACATCCACTTTTTCTACCCAGATGAGTCAAGGACATCCACCAGCCCCAAGTTTCCCTTTGGAGGGTGTATTGGAGCACAGCCTAGAAAATGGACAAGCAAAATGCAGCATCTGCTGTACCAATGAATGGAGCAGTAGCAGCAATCCCAGAATCCCGTGCTGGGATGTGCATAGGATTCTGGGTAAGTACTTAGCCAGTCCTGGAAGCAAACACTATTATCTCAGATGTACAGTACCAGTGCTCCAGACAGTGATTGCCTGGAGGCTGACCACTGCCGCCCCCAGGAGACTACCAACAGTGGGATCTTTGTATGAGCAGCTGGATCCAAAGAGGCACATAAAAAGGCAGAGAGCTGCGGCTGTTGGATGGTGGAGAAATGTAATAAATATATTCAACATTTAGGTCAGTCTTCCCCAACTTGTGCCTTCCAGACTTTGGACTGCAACACCCAGAATTCCCAGTCAATGGCCCTGCTGGATGGGAATCCTGGGAGTTGTGGTCCAAATGCCTCTGAAGTCTACCAGGTTGGGGAGGGATGATTTAGACCTTTACATTTCCCTGGTCCCAGGGAATGAGGCCATGGTCAAATGTTGGGTCAACCAAAAGACAGGAAGATGGAAAACCTGGTGAGAGTAATTCCAAGGTAGTTCATGGTTGTTTACAGGAGTATCCTCTTTTTAAAGGAACTTTGGTTTAGAAACAAGCTGTAATGTTTCTTACATTTGTCATGTGATGAATAAAATCATGACTCTCTGCCTGGGTGTAAATATGGAGCAATTTGCAACTATTATCTTTGTATTTCATTTCTTTGGGATTGTTGCTATTTTTGAGCTCCACTTCCCCCCTGAAGGTTGTTAATTCTCTAGTAAATTCTCTAGTCCTCATGAACTGTGCGATTATGCTCGCAAATTCTTTGTATGAGTTTATTTCCAGGAACTTTGAACCCAAGCTAAACATAATGCATTTCTATATGACTATACATGACCCAACTCACATACAAATTCGACTTAAAGATGAATTTCCATTTTCTCACAAAGGGACTTCCTGTACTAGTAGCAAAGGCTTTGGAGAAACATTTCAACTTTTTATATGGGGGAGAAACACCCATGAGCCAGAAAACCACTAAAGGGCTGCTGGTTGATGGAAGGGGAGCAGCCAAGGGGGCGTGACCATTTTGGAGAACCAGGCTGGGACCGGAGGCAGGACTGGAGTTCCTCAGAGAGCCTTAGAAAGCTGGAGTGGGCCGTATGTGATTCCACGGATCAGCCTGGTGGTTAAGGGGACAGTGGCTTCACAGAGGTAGTGTTCCTCCTTTTTTTTTAACAGGAGCCGATGGCCTTTGAGGAGGTGGCCTTGCATTTCACACAGGAGGAGTGGGTTCTGTTGAGTCCAGCCCAAAGGGCTCTGTACCGAGAAGTCATGGCAGAAAATTACAGGCTCGTGGCCTCTCTGGGTGAGTGTTCTTTGGCTTGGCGTTGATTCTTGTCTGTGCCGTTATCGATGCTACACGAAGTCATCACGGCAGAGTCCGTGCCGGTCATGACATCCTGGATGCTGCTTCAGGTCCACCACTGAAAAAATCCAACCCCAGTGCTCTGCTCTTGATTTTATATGTCACTCAAAGATCTTTTAACTGCAGGACTGTGGGGAGGAACAACAAGCCCAGGGGGCCAAAGTTGCCCCCCTGGGGTTCCCCAGATAGCTAGTCCCTTTCCCTCAGCCATCAATTGTGTGATGGTTTCCTGGCTTTTCTATAAATGTCCCTCTGTTCAAAATGGATTTATTTATTTATTTGTTTGTTTGACATTTTTAACAAATTAAACCAGTGCAATTCATTCAGCAATTCAGCAATACAATACAATTGAATAATCACATTATACAATTGGCCAACAAGATAAAATAAAATCAGAGGAAAAGGAAAAGAGAAGAAAAAAACAGAAATGTTATAAAACTGAACAATTAGTATACATTAAAATGGCCTAATCGCATAGATGGGAATTATACGTACTAAAATTACTTAGCATTAAAAGAAAATATGGCAACGGCAAACAGCAGAACCCATCAACCATTAAACCAAACAGCTCATCTGCCAAAATAATAGCAAAAGAGGTAAGTTTTTAACTCCATATAGCAATATGGAGAAGGCCCCGGATGACAACCTGAGTGACTGAGGGCATTCCTCAGATACTCTGGCCCCAAGAAGTTTAGGGCTTCATATGTGATTTTTAAGCACCTTGAATTGGGCCCGGACAGCGACCAGGAGCCAGTGGAACACAGAACTGGAGTGATGTGCTCATGAGCTCCTGTTCCGGTCAGCAGGTGCAGCGCCTGATTTTGGACAAGTTGCAATGCCCAGCCTGTTCTCAAGGACAGCCCTGTGAGGAGCGCATTGCAGCGATCCGGGCACAAGGTTACCTTTGTGTGGATAATTGTAGCACTTGGTTAGTAGGAGCAAGCGTTGTAAGTTCAAACAGACTGGAAGGTTTGGCCCCCTCCTTTTCCTTTCAGTTTTGCCCACCACTGGAATGGAGCCGAGATGTTCAAACTCCCTTTTTTGGGGTATCTAATACAATTTAGAAATAAATACATTTTCTGTACAATAGCCCTAGAATCATAGAATAGCAGACTTATGGTCTTGCTAAAGCCAACCAAGGTGGATTACCTTCAGGGAAAAACTCAGTCAAAGTAGAGCACAGGAAACATTTAAAAGAACATGAAGCAGTCACGATGACCATTTAAAAAGCCAAATTTGAAAAATGCATCTTGACCCTCCCTTGTATGGAGAGAGAGAGTGGAGAACCAGTTGCAGCTCCAGCCAGAGTTTTTTCCACAGCTGTGGAGCAACACAGGAGCAAGCTTTGCCAGGATATCCACACCAGCCCCCTGTAGATTGGTGGGCTACAACTCCCCACCCATCAGCGGTGAAGGATGATGGGATTTGCAACAATCTTCAGGAGCCCTCAGTTTGTCCACCCCTGCACAGCAACTCATGAGGGTGACATGAGCGTGCATATTGCGACTATAGTATCTTGCTATTTCAATTACTTAAAAACTGTTGTTTTATTTATTTTATTTACAAACGTCTTGGAATGGTTTACAATGTTTAAGTCTTTCTGTGGGGTGCATTGAACAATCTGGTGTCCCCACCCCAGTCAGTTGTTGTACAGGCCAGGCAGAACCTGCTCCGAGTTTGAGCCAGCAGCCCCCACTGAGCAAAGGGCCCATGGATATGCGACCCTCTGTATCATCTCTCCCCCTTCCGTGAGCTTTCCTGAGGGTAGCGTGTGGATCCAGAAAGTCTCACTGACGAGTTCATTTTCCCACAGTGCCCTGCAGCGATGGTCTGTTTGGGGTGCTGTGGGAAACACACATGCCCGAGTGGCAACCCAGGTGGAGCCGCAGCTGCAGAGAAGCCCCAGGCACAAGGAACAGGTGGGCAGGAGGGCCAAGGTGCCCTTTGAGATGCTGGCCTGGCCAGCCACTTTAGTCCAGGCACAGTTCCCAAAATACTGCCCTGTCTTTGAGTCAGAGAGGTTTTGCCACATCATCTGCTGTTTGTGTGTGAGCTAAGCCCTGCGAGAGCCAGATCCTCTTTCCTCGGTGGAGTTAATGTTTGACTTGGAAAGGATACTGAAGTCCAACATTTGCATCCCTTTCCTTTTCAGTTCAGGAGCTGCAGCCAGGAATAAAAATGGAAGAATGGGAACCAGCACCACCTCCGAACTCCAGGGAGAAAACGGAAAGAGAAGGAAGAGGCTCACCTGTTGCCCAGCTTGGGGCTGGCAAGGCTGCAGCCAGGGCAGCTTGGCAGTGGGCTGAGGAAGGTGCAGCTGCAGAGGCACAACAGGGGTGTGAAAGCTGCGGCCCATCCTTTGTCCAGAAGGCAGCAGACCCTCGTGTCCAACAGATGATGCTTTGGCCCTCTCTGGAGCATCATGCAAAGGATCCCCAGGCCTCTCAGAAGGGGCCCTCCCATCTCCCTCAGCGGCCCAATGGAAACGGAGTGAACCAGACGCTCCTGGAGCCCGGCGGTCAAGCTTACGAAAGCATGGCACCTTTTGTGCGAGTGAAGGAAGAAATTATGGCTGAGGAGGACGGTGGCAGCGTGGAGATGCAAGAGAGGCCAGACGGAGAAGTAAGATGCTCTCACCCGCAGTTTTCCTAAAATGAGTATGGGGAAGAAGTAGAACTTTGGGCATTTCAAACTACAGGACAGAATTCTGGGAACTGGTACTCCCCAAATCTGGAGATCTACTTGTCCTTGTCCTTAAGGACCTCTTTTCATCTGACATGGAAAAAATACCTGGGCCAAGCCAGGTTTAGGGGACAGGCAACCAGCCGGAGTTGTTTAAAATGCAGAGGGACTCGTAGGGAAGCTATTAGGGGCTAGCTACTCAGGGAGTAACCAAATAGCACACTTAGGGCATGAAAAATGCAGTGTTACAGATCCTGAAGCGGGTTCACCCGCCTTTGTCATTCAGTGGAGCTGGGGAGCAGCCAAATGTGCTGCTCCCCCCGCGCACTCCATCCGGCAGGCCCACCGTCACCACCTTCAAGACATGTCTTGAAGAGCCCTGCCAGCCCTTCGGTCCAGTGCAGCATCTGCCACAGCAAGAGGAAGGAAGGTTGGTGGTAGGGCTGGGACGAACCCTGGAGGAATCCTTCCTCCGGTACGTGCGGCCTTTCTCTTGCGCTCATCCCGGTCTGCAAGGCGAGCTGAACGAAGATGAGCCTGCAGGTGCTGCTGGAGGGGCCGGTGTGCAGTTGGCAGAGGCTGCTGCAGCAGGTGTGCAGGGGGGACACTGCCTGCACATGGTTGACAAGCCCCGGGGGACTGGCCTCCTTCCACCTGCGGAAGAGGGGTGCTACCAGGGGTGCGTGGAGCGCCGTTCCTTGCAAGCTCTGTGGGAGTGCTAGCAGCATCTTTCCTCTGGGCCACATCTGGGCCGCTGCAGGGGGTGCAAGGGGGAGGGCGGACGCCGCTTGCACAGCTTGTGGGGGTCTGCTCCTGGTGAGCCCCCCATGAACACTGGCACACTCACCAGGATTCAGACTCGGGGCTGCTGCGAAATGGACTCATGGACTCATTTGGGAATCCAGCAGTTTCCCAGCCCCGAAAGGATGGCTCACACCTTCCCAGTGGGTGGGGTTGTGCAGATTGGCTCATGAGGGCTCCCCCGAGGACTCGGCCAGGTAGTTTAAGGACTGGGACGTGCCTCCTGCAGCTGTGCAGTGGGGCAGCGAAGCTAAGAGGCTGGGGGTGGTGAGAGGGAAGGCGCTTGGCAGGGCTGGTCGCAGGGAGGGCCAGCAGTGCCCGTTGTCCCCTGCTTTGGGTGGCAAGAGAGCTTTTGCTGGCCCTGAATCTATCCTTTTGTTTGAGAAGGTGAGAAATGCATCTTTATCCTTGCTGGAGAGAAACAGGGCTAGAAATGCAATCAACCCACGAAAAGGCAGTCAGAAATGGGATAAACGGAAGGGGCGCCCCATTGCTTCCCCACTGGAACAAGCGGGGCAGGGGGGACAGGCACACTGGCATTTAGTTTGGGAATGAGAGCGAGATGGAGCACCAGGGAACATTTGGATACTCTCTCTTGACTGAGGAGAGCCCCTGTTTTCTCCGTCTTGATAAACATGTGGATATTTTATCCAAATTTTGCTTTGTGGAAGGGGAAACATTGGGGCACCTTTTCAGAAAGCTGGCTTTGGCGCTTGTCCTGTTCTCAGCCCAGCAGAGGGGGGAAAGCACAGAGCTGCATATGCTCAAAAACACCTGCTCTAAATTCTGGATGTGCATTTAAAAGACCTTCTCTCTTAAGGACACCCCTGCTTATTTATGATATTTTTACATTGCCCATCAGCTCAAACGCTCCCTGGGTGGTTTATAAAATCAAAATGCAATAATAAATATAAAACAATCATAAAATCATCATAAAAACACAACAATGCATTAATGCAATATTATATGATTATAACCACTGCAGGTCAATCACTCTTAGAGGTGCAATATTCATCCCTTGTAGGAAGGGATTTATTTATTTGTTTGTTTATTTATTAAAACATTTCTATGCCACCCCATTCGCCGAAGCCTCGGGGCGGCTCACAACATTAAGTTAAAATACAAACATTAAGTTATAACATTAAGTTAAAATGTTTGTAAAATGCAAACATTAAGTTAAAATATAAAAAATAACAATACAAAATAAGTCGCCCTGGCCAGATGGATGGGCAAGGAAGAAAAGGGTTGGATCTCTGGGCAAAAAAGCTCAGGCAGAAAGATTTGAGGAGGGCCGCAGGAGGTAAAGCGCCCCTGTGGAAAGAGCCAGCTAATCCATGGAGATCAGAAGCAGGTCTCCAAATAAAACACTGGGGAATCCAGCCTGGTGGGCTACCTCCTAACATTACTTCTGCCAAGCGGGGATCCTTGGCATGAGAGATGCTTGGAACGCAGAAGGTCCCGAGGGTCATTCTCTGGTCTCTCGAGTCAGGAAGATGCCTCCTTCCCCTGGACTTGGGATGTGCGCTCCACAGTGCATAATGCAAGGCAGGTGGATAAAGAGTCCAGCCTGGTATACGGCAGCCTTGTGTGGTTCTTTGTGAAACGCTGTGAAACCTTTCCATTTTTAGGAGTGGAGGTCTGTGGCAGACGTTGCTTGCCCCACATCGGAGCAGGACTTGGCGAAGATGCAGCTTTCTGCAGAGGCCAAGCAAGAATTTGACTTCCGGGGTAAGATTTACGGAGGGCGTGGATTTGGGGACATTGAGCGCTTCCCGCATGTGTATGGATCTGCTTTATCTCTATCTTCATTATCTATTTGTATGCTGCTTTTCTACAAAGCTATACCCAAAGTGGCTGACAACGTGAAGGAAGAGGACTGTGTAAGCCACTTTGGGTTGTGCACAAGAAGAAAAAAAGTGGGATAAATATAATAATTAAATTTGAGGATATCCAGGAAGAGAGAAAACCACTTGTGTGAAAGGTGACGTACAATTTAATGAAGGCTAAGTTAAAATATGAAATAAAGGAGCCAGAGTACAGACATCTCTCTGGTCGTGGGGCTTCCTAATAGAGTGGACATTGGTCTGAGTTGCTTGGACACTTGTCCCGTGCTGAATGCCAAAGCACAGACTAACATGCTATGGATGTTATAGTGGTTTCTTGCTGTTTTGGATGCTGTCTGTAAGCCATGTTCTAGCCCTCCTTCCCAAGAAACAGGGCAGGGAGTGAGGGCTTCAGTAAAGCAAACAGTTTCGGTTCTCACAGCAAAAGCGCCCTTCTCTAATTGGGGAAAACAGCTCCAAGACCACGATCCCTGGTGCCGTTTCTAATTACCACAAGCTGCAGTTATGCATGAGACCCGGACGTGGCTCCAAAAAACTATGCCGGCTTCTGGACTCTGTGGAAATTCAGTCCATTGCCTGCTGAACTTTAATAACCTCTTCACCATTCTTCTGGTAGAGCCCATCTAATCCACCAAGAGTGGTTTTCCCACTAGGAACTTAGCTATGGTTGCAGTCCGTATTTGATGCCCTCCTCCAAGGCATCATGGGAAGGAGCCATTTCTCTGGCAGTCCCAGTTTGAAGCAATTGTCATCTTGGTATCAGGTTAAGAGTTTCCTCTACTTCCTCTCATCTGAAAGCTTATACAATTTGAATGAGTCCTAGGATTTATTGTCGATAGTTAAGAACTGTAACTTTTTGTCCATAACGGTTTTATATTTGTATTAGTCTCTGCAAACCTCCCCAAGAGCTTTGGCTGTTGCGTGGTATTGAAATAGAATGGATGGATGAATGAGAACAAGGGCTTGTAGCACTGATAGAACCTGCTAAGGCTGTGGGGCCTTGCCAACTGCCCTGGGATGCCCAGTGCTGGCACCAGCCCTAGTTAATCAGCTTAACACATCTTGGTTTTAGATCAATTAAAACCCAAACCAAAACCCCCAAACAAATGCTCCTTCTCTCTCTCTCTCTCTTGCTTTCTCGTGTCATCATTTCTCTGTCTGTTCCAGGAAGTGGTGAGCAAGCACTGGAAGCCAAGGAACCTTGTTGGCCAGAAAGACCTGAGCAACGGAGTGCCAGTAGAAGATTGCGGGGAAAAAACACTAGGACCTGTTTCCCAAGCTCCAGAGCAGAGGATGCTCCTGGAGTGAAGCAGGAGGCTGGCACCCTGAAGGAGAGTAAGCCTGACTTAGCTTCACTTTGTGAGGAAGGTGCTGCAAATGTACACAGGTGGACTTTTCATGGGGGACTTTTCAGCAGCTACGAAAGAAGGAACGGAGGACTGGAATGTATGAAAAGCCCCGAGGATGTGGATAGTTGGAGCTCACAAACGGGCAAAGAAAAAAGCTACAAGTGCTCCTATTGTGGGAAGTGTTTTGGCGAGAGCTTAGACTTGGTTGCCCATGAGAGAGCCCATATCGGGGAGAAAATTTATCAGTGCTCGCACTGTGAGAAGCGTTTTTCTCACCGCATTGATCTCCTGACTCACAAGAAAAACCACCAGGGCGAGAAGCCACACCAGTGCGATTCAGATTGCGTCAAATGTTTCCGGCAGAGGGCATTCCCATCCGCTCACCAAAGAACTCACTCTAGAGAGCAGGTTTGCCAGTGCTCTGTGTGTGGGGAGCACTTCAGTTGGAGGTCGAACCTTATTAGACACCGGAGAACCCACACGGGCGAGAAGCCCTATCAGTGTTCAGAGTGTGGGAAAAGCTACACAAGGAAAACAGCACTCGAAAGACACAAGAAAACCCACGTGAGGGAGGGACCTTGTGATGGGGGCGCCCCAAGTGTGGGTCAAGCTTCCATATGGGTTCTGCTTGTATAATTTGTACAGGATTCACCATAGGTAGAGGGGAAGAATTCTTACTGGTGTCCACGCTGTGGGAATAATTGGCCAGGCAAAGACCATGATTTATGAAATGCTGAACAAAGAAGTAAATGGTGTGGAAATTGTGTCCCCTTGGTGCTGTGCCTTTTTTCTCCCATAAGGAAATGCATTTAAGAGAGGGATCCTCTAAGAGTTTAAAGTGATGCACTTTACTCTGTTTCCCTGTAAAATGTTCTGTGCATGGGAAAAATTTCTGGAGAAGATAAACTGTAGCAAAGGTAAGCATTAATTGTACCTCTTCACAGTGCATGAGTGGTGCCCAGCTCTTAAAACTCCCAAGCACTAAACAAATATTTTTGATACTCTTCATTTTAAAACAAAAATCCGTCTGTAAATAGAAATCTAGAAACTTTAAGGAAAAAGCTCAGCTTGCTGTCTGAATGTTTGCTCAGAGGGATTCGCTCATGGGAGCATTCGAAGTGCAATGTTGTTTTGGTAACAACATTTTGAGGGGGCTTGGTCTTGAATTAGGGATGCAGGTGGCGCAGTGGTTTAAACTGCTGTGCTGCTGGGCTGGTTGATCAAAAGGTCGCCGGTTCGAATCTGCACAACGGGGTGAGCTCCCGTTGCTCTGCCCCTGCTCCTGCCAGCCTTGCAGTTCGAAAGCATGCAAATGCAAGTAGATAAAAAGGTACCCCTTCGGTGGGCAGGTAACAGCGTTCCGTGCACCTCGGTGTTTAGTCATGCCGGCCACATGAGCACGGAGACCGTCTGCGGACAAACGCTGGCTCCCTCGGCTAGGAAACGGAGATGAGCGCCGCCCCCCAGAGTCAGGCATGACTGGACCGCTATTAGGGAACCGCTATTAGGGACTGCTATTAGGGAACGCATCTATAGAATTGTAAATCTTGTAGACAATTAGCATTAAAGGACTTTAGTTTCATTGCTCTAGAATGTGTGGAATGTTTACATACCGCGCTGCCCCCCACAACAGACATCTGCTCTCCTCCCATTGTGGGAAAAAGTGATAGGAGAGGACAAGGTTAACATTGTAGATGCGAACACGTCTTTACAAAAAAATGTATTGCTAGCTATAGAAACATAGCAAGTCAGAAGGGGTGTCCAGGGACATCTAGTCTGACCCTAGCACAAGCCAGCTCTGCTCATATAATGTTCAGTCTCCACTCATGTAATATGTATGCAGGCTCAAGGGTTGGGACAACAGCTTGCTGTGTCACACGTGATCCACACGACCAACGAGAAGATACTCCCCAAAGAGGTTAAGAATGGGATTACACCCCACTTATCAAAAGAAGAACCAAACCTAGCAAGACGGTGGGAGCTAAACAATGCAACACGCATGGCCAAAGAGCAAGAAGTGAGCCTAGTTACTGCAACAGTAAATGCCAGGAAGACAGTAAGTGTTTTTCCAGCCGTTCCTCTTGGCATCACTGTAAGCAAGGGCGTGCGAAGAGCAACGCAGGCTTGCCTCAGAACGGGTGGGAGAGACGGCCAGTGCCAGGGGATGGCAGCATCGCCCAAAGTTCAGCTTTGTGAGTGAAGATCAAACCTTAGGCTCTCCTGCGAGGTGAGGAAGGCATCCTGCTGTTCCTTTAGGGTCGAGGGAGCAGGGAAGGGAGGTTTAATCCCATGCGTGTGGCAGGCTGACGGGTGAGGGAAGAGCGCGCTGCGGATGCGCGTGGGGAGGGTGTTCCTCGTTCCTCAAAAGGAAGCTCACAAGGATGAATAGAGGGTTACCCCCCACAAGGAAATGTCAGTGGATTTGTCCAGTTTCAAACAAGGGATTTTTCGTGTCTTGTGCAAAAGGAGGAATTTCTGTACTGTAGAAACTCCACCTGGGTTGGAGCTGTTGATTCTGCCCCGTGACCGAGGCGGCTCAATCCACACATTGTCACATACCTCGAACTTGTCTGAGTGGGGAAAACGTGATGATTGCTGGCTCTCCATTCCTTCACCCAAGAGACCCTCTATCTAAGTGCAGGTATTGTGTAGGCAAATTTAAAGGGGGAAAGGGACAATCCTGTGCTTCTCTGCCATGCACTCAGCGAAGGTGTCCCATGCGGCAAGCTAAGTGAGCGCTTCGCTTCAGAGAAAGCACCAAAGGCCTAGGAGGCCTAGGTGCCCTCCTGACCGCGAGGCCTGCGCTGAAAGACACTCCTCTGCTCCTCCACTGAGCTTGACTGGATGTGCTGAGTGTCTTGTGTGGAGCACTGGTTTGTGGATCCCTCTGAACTGCAGGAGGCCCAAACACTGGGCTCTGGTGCCTGGCTGTGGACACAAGAAGGAGGCAGGGAAGGGAGATGATCGGGGCTGGTCGCCCAGGGAAGCAAGAGCTCTGCCAAAGACCACCAACTTCCTGAGTCATGCCAGTGATCCATTGCAGTTCGAATCACCTTTTCGGAGGACAGGCTGCTCTCCCTGGTTGTATGGGCTTCTGTAAAGCCCCTGCCCAGAGAGAGTAGAGGGAGCAAAGTCCAGGAAAGCTCCCCATCACCCAGAGGCAAGTGTCTGGCCTCCCCCCACCAAAGTCCCAGCAAGAGCAGGCGGCCAAAAGCTGCCTTCTCTGAGGCTCGAACTCAGGACCTTCAGATTA